ATTACTTTTTATCATGGCTTACCTTGGTGTGGTTTGCAAAGTGCTTCAGAAAGATGAGGAAATCTGTTTCTTGCACCCATCCTGATTTATTTCCACTACCAATACTTCCTACTGGTCCATCTCTGACACAGTGGTCTGCATAATGTATGTGTGGGAACACAAACAGTGGAGGAATTGTGTTGCCAATGGCATTAACCGCATATACAAATGCGACCAGTGAATCTCTCTCTGCTGATGTCATTGCCCCAACTTGTTTAATATAAGTTAAAGTAATAGTGTGGTAAGTTGTAACATCTGCATTATTGTTACAACTAACCCAGACTGTTGCTGTTACAGCTGACCAAGACTCCTATAGCCATGAACTAGCTAACATTACAGCCAACGGCTAAAACATTAGCACTAAAGACTTACACAGAATATATCCCCATAGACATACAAATAACATAATTTAAGTTTGATGACTTTAACTGCAAAGCAGATAATGCTATTAGAAATTGAAATAAAGTAGAAAAACTTATTTTTTGGCATACAAATTACTTTTTTTCATGTTAAATTGTCAGTGTTTGACAAAATGTGCTGATTTTTCACATGTGATAGCAGAACTGAATTGGGCATGCACAGGATGAGTCACATCATTTGAAACTTAGCCCTGATTGGAGAAATTGGAAGTGTTACAACTGACCCACGTTACAACTATCCCCGGTCTCCCCTACAGTGAGCAAACAAGCTGATAAGATGACCATATAACCTCTTTGTAAACCCTGTTCACTTTAGTCTATTTACCAATATAAGTAAAGACATTACATATAATAAAAACACATGTAAACACTGGAAATCACTTTTTGGCAGACAATCGGTTTTTGGCACGAGCTGCAGTATCCTCTTGGGGGCGGACCATGACGATGTCCTCCGAGTACAAGTGCAGTTTTCCCACAGTGCTTTTTTTTTCTTTCTTAGTTATACCTGACTACCTGACCGAAAATAATACAAAGACAACATAAGAAAGCTAAAGTTTGTCATTCTCGCTTATTATGATCTCAGCTACTTTTTTGGTTTTCCGATGCTCTTTCTCTCTGCTGTTTCCAACACTAATCTCTAAGTTGTTTTTTTTTTTTTTGGGGGGGGGGGGGGGGGGGGGGCTTTTGTAGATATGATTTTTCTACAAAGAGTATTAGGAAAATATTTTTTTTTGAGGGGAAAAAGAAGTATGTGGAGAATGCAGTTCTTCCACGACTGCCACGGCTCCTATGCCCTCTACAGTTTTGTGATACCATCAGCACAGACACATATTTAGAAATAATATAATCATTTTTATTGGAAAAGGGCGTAAAAACAAGGTACAAAGTGCTCACATGCTGTGCACAACAGTAAAGTCTAACTTTTCTGCTGATGTCTTCATTTTACAGCCTCTGCCTGCCCTGACAGTAAGAGTGGAGCTGCCAGTCACTGACACAGTTATAACATCACAACATCCCTTTTTTATTACATCAACAAAAGCACACGAATAATCATTTAAAGTATTACCGAAGAGTTGGTTCACACGAATACATTTGACACCAGGAGAGAAACTCCTTTGTTGGTACAGTATGGTGTTACGGTGGCACGCAGAAGGTTTTGGTTGCATTTGTTCAATTCTTGAGACATCTCTCTGAGCTTTTTACTTCCCCGCTTCAAACCTACAGAGAAATTTAGCTTGTGCATTTCAAAAGTTAAATGTAATAGCACTGACATTCCTATTGCTTTCTTTCTTTTTAAAAAACTTCAAACATACATAGATTGAGTGGGTTCAGATGTCCTCTCACTTCTCTGTGTTGCAGGAATTTTAAACAAAACAATCTGCTGTTCAACATTTATACGCTCTAAAATTTAAATGGACTGTCATTTACATATTTCTCTACTCTTACTGACCACTTCAGAATAAGCTGCAATAAACCATACATTTGTTCTTTATCTGACATCCAAATTAGAAACACAAATGAACCCAAAATGCAAATGAACAGCTTACTTTAAGTTACTGTTGTTTAAACTGCATAGTTCCCTACTGCCAATTAGTGGATCCCTTGTGTCATTGTTGTTTATTCGGCATAAACACCAAATAAAACGTGCATGAGCCATTAAAAATCTTATCAGGATTAGACTAAAGTCATTAATGACCAACATGGAGGCTCCATTCCACTACAGTTTGACAAAGGCAAAGAAAGTAGGCTGAGACAATGATCAGTGCAATAACTGATGATCCCTTCAGCTGATGATAGCTAATGATCCAAACACAGTATACCATCACCTCCCTTTTTATGAAAAAAAATTAAGAGCATACAAGATGCGATTAAAAAAACAAAACAAACATTTAATACAACATCCTGTAACAGTTAAAAAAAATCAGTAATGCTTTTAAAAATAAGCTGCTTCTAATTTTAAAAGAAAAGATGATTAAAAATGACTTTTACCTCACAACTCTTGAGTTAAGTGATAGCAACAGTTGGATTATGACTCATAACGGGGGCCGCTGTTGTCAATAATGAACAATACAACTCTGTGATCCAAACACTGCTTATGTACCATAGTGACACAAATAAACATCCTAGCAACTGGCATTAAATGACAAAGTAAGCGCTCGACTTGTCATACTGGCGTTTCAAAACCTGACTGTATGGAGTGTAGAGTGTGTGGCTGTGACAATAAAATGAAAACCAGTATGCTTTTGTTATTCAAACTGATCTACATTTAACTCATTTAAAACTAAATTTAAAAAACTCTATATTCTCAAATTGTACAATCAAGCTGTTTAAAGTAGCACATACCTCTGAATGAAAACTGTAACTAACCATCAACCAGTTAAATTAGGAGACAAAGACAGAAATGACAGGTTTCAGTAAAGATCCCCTTCATCCACCTAAGAAGGTCTTAGTGACTGCTTATCCCTTTCTGGCCAATCCCCCTCACAGGGATTGGTAGCCATCGGTCCTCCTCTTGCGGCTCACCAGATAGGCCACTACCACCACCACGATGAGCACCAGCAGTGCCACTCCCACTCCAATGGCAATCTTGTAACTACGCTGGTCCGCAGGACAGTAGTCACCTGGAAAACACACACACACACACACACACACACACACACACACACACACACACACACACACACACACACACACACACACACTCCCATTTAAACACACATCACTTTTTTAAGTGACCAGTTTTCTAAGAACTGATAAAATGTCAAATGTCACTTTTAGAAGATTGTGGATGTCTGTAACAGAGTTCAGTCAAACTGTCTGTTCAGGCTAAATTTTATTCTTCAATCCAACAACTGACAAAGATAATGGAGCATGAATGCGTTCCATGAAACGTAACTATTCTATGAAATCTGCTTAGGACTGTAGTTAAACCTGTTCTTCCTGAGCTGCATTCCAGAGCAGTCGACTGTCAAGCTGTCATGCAGCTGCTTTAGTTTCCACTGTTGGAAACTCTAATGATGAAAAGCCACTCACGAGGAAGTATCCGATTTTTTAAATTTCAACCGCGTGTGTTGTGCGTTACATGTTTTTAAGGACTATTACTGATGCAGCAATGAATAATCACTGTTTCCTTGCTTTGGCTTCAGGACCTTGGTTTTTAACTTTATACACATTTTTGTATGCTGATCATATTACATCATTTGCTAAAATATTGTTTGGAGAATATTATTCAAATAGGATGTGTAAAGTTTAAATCCCCATGAAAGATAAAGTGTTTTAAGTCTGAAAGTTACGCATTGCTGTAAGAAATAAAGTCATTCCAAACCTAAGAATAAGAGACTACAACTTTTTGACTTGGAATGGAAAACATTTAGACTAGAGTACTTCCAAACCTAGCTCGATGGACATTTCCTGCTTCCATTATTGTAAATGTACTGGTTCTTATATAGCGCTTTTCTACTCTATCAGAGAACTTTATACAACTTGCTTCATTCACACTAGCACTTTCTATGCTTTTTATACATAAGTGCTTACTATCTAACATACACACATTCCAATGTATAGAAAGCAACTTGGGGTTAGCATCTTGCCCTAGGATGCAGACTGGAGCAGCCAGGGATCCAACCACCAACCTCCTGTTTAGTAGCTAAGCAGCTGTACCTCCTGAGCTACAGCCATCCCAATACTGGCTCTAACAATGTTTTTAAGACTGAGGATGGTTTAATGATTAGTTGTTCTTCACAGGGACACTTACGATCGCCAAAGTTGTTCTTGGTCAGATTGAAGGCTTGCGTTCTGTCAGAATTTACATCCAGGGACAGGTCGTTGCCCATGTAAATAGAATCAGCGCTGCAGGAGTAGGAGTGTCCAATCTGTGCAGGGAACAGATGGACTGACTTGTTGTTGGCATTGTAAGTTGTACCTGCAAGTGTGAAATAGAAAGACAATTTTTACAGACCGATGATCAAGTATCGCGACAATCGAGTTAAACAATATTACACTGAAAGTAGTAGCATGACATGCTTAACAGTAACTCCACAGGTCTTGTCTGTATATTGTTGAGCAGGCACACAAACAAGGAAACAGCAGCTTGTGTTCTTGCTGTGTTTACCATCCATGTGCAACACTTACCTGTAGCTAAAGTATCAGGGGACATCCAGTGAGTCCAAACTCTCATCAGTGAAAATGTTACGAAATAAACATTGACTTACGTTCTGTGGTTAAAGGGTAGTTCAAGCTGAAAGACACGGCATCAACGTAGACGGTGTTATTAGGAACACTCTGAGGAATTATAACAAACAGGGAACCTTTTACAATGTAACACTGAAACACTGTGTCCAAATGTGACATTTTGGTTTTCGTTTTACTGAATCCAAACACTGAACATTTTTCTGGGTCAGAGGGTTTCTGTGCTCATTTACAACAGATAAACAGGTTTCAGCAAGTACACATGCTGCTAGCATTTGAATTTGAAGTGTGAAACAGGAAACAGCTCATCCGACCAGTTTGACAACGTATTACTGTTTTCCTCTTAACCCCGGACACATGCTTGAGACCAGCCTACATAACAAAGCAATCTACTATTCCTGGCTGTCGTGTCTGAGCTTTTCTATTTAAAATCTGGTTAGCCAGGCTAACCACTACAATCTAATATTTAATATGATAGCACTATATTAAAGTATATTATATTACTACTGCAGTAGATACTCCATTACAGAACAGACTACAGAATTAAAAAAAAAAAAAAACCCTCACTTTAAAAAAAAGAAAGAAAATGAAAGTAACCCAGAGTCCCAGAAGCTTTGGTCATCTTTGACTCTGAAAACTGAAAGCTGATTTTCAGCAGTGTGTCTTTCTTTATTGTGATATTATTGAGACCAGTTCACAAGTGGGGCTTTTATTAAAAGCTGTTGGATCTTTTTATGCTTACAGTAAAGTTGCCACCAGGAGCAGCATGCACTTGTACTAAGCTAACATTTATATTGGAGGCAAACTAATTACAAATGTTTCCTTCTATCTTAATTTTTTTCTGGCTATGAATCCATATTGCATCTTTGAAAATGATAACTGATGCACGCTCAATCCTCCAACAAAGGAAATCCCAGACAGTTCATTCTTTCGTGTGCCCACACTGTATGGGAGTTGTGGAAGCACAATCAAAGAGACAGGGGAAGTCACTTGGATGAGTGCGAAATATTTTGAAACATTCCTCTCGCTGGAAACACAATGTTCAAGTGAACAGAACCAACTCTCTGGGATAATAAATTCAAATCGATTAATTTTTGTGCATAATAAATATGACATAAGGACGACCAGGCTGCAGTTGGTGGTATAACTACACCTCAGCTGTATATTTTATTTGACATAAACACTTTAAGTGTTCAGATAGACTATCACTTACAAAACCACAGAATGAATCACATGGATGCAGTAGGGCGAAGCCGCCTGATGTAGTTTCCCTATGGGCTACTTCTCTTTTAACACTTCTGCAATTTATTTCGCTTGACTAGTATTTCCAGCTTACATAGATTTACTCGTCAAGGAAACTGTTAACACTCTGAACTGCTAACCCTAATCCTACATCTTGGAAAAATGTGGAACAGACTTTTTTTGGAAATGTGATTGTTTGACGTTAGAATGATTATTTACTTTGTTTCCTGAAACCTAGAGCTCAGTTTAATAAAAACAGAAATTACACATTCTGATTGCCCATGGTTGAGACCAATAAGGTGTCTGTTTATCTTATCCTAAGATTGCAAAGTTAGGGTTGTCATGACTTGGACGTCAGAGGTTGAATTGACGTTCTTGTCATAAATGTGCAGGATAGGGTAACTGTGGTAATTTCAGGTTAAGATGAATGATTGGCTGACCTCAGCACCTCTTTAACCACCTCATTTTGATCTTATAATGCTGTATATGTCACAGGCTTTGGGAAAAGAGTTCACCAAGTACCTTGGTGAAGCTGAAGTTAATGAAGCCCTCTTTAAAGGAAATCTTAAGGTTGGCGCTGTTTTCATTGCAACTTCCACTAGTACTGGTTAGCTGTGGCTGAACAATGAAGATTGCCTGGGAATAAACAGAGAAGAACAAATGGTAAATGGCCTGTATTTATATAGCGCTTTACTAGTCCCTAAGGACCCCAAAGCGCTTTACACAACCAGTCATCCACCCATTCACACACACA